GCGTGCAGGCGGTGCACCGCGGCAGCGTCGCGGCCGCCGCCGCCGCTGCTGCTGCGGCGGCGTCGGGCGCAGGTCGCGCCCGCGAGGGGCCGCTTCTGCTGCGCGCGGCGTTGGGCAGGGCGGTGCTGCGTCCTTGGGACACTGATGCAGGGCAGACAGTGGCCGGTGGCGGCGGCGGCCAGAAAGGACCAGCTGAGGCGGACCTGCTGGGGGGAGTGATGACGTCATTGCGGTGGGGCAGCACGGGGGGCCCCCTGGGTGGAGCTGTCCAGGAGGTGGATGGTGGAGGCCCGGTCAGCACAGGTGGTGGCGGTCACGGCGGCCCGGCGTCGGCGCTGCCGGGCGGGGCCCCAGCGCAGATGCAGAAAGCGAACGGCGACAGCGGCGGCCGCGCCGTCGGCGGCGGCATGGCCGCTGCCGCAACCGGGCGCGCGCCGCCAGCTGCAGGGGGCCCAGGGCTGCAGGGCGACATGGCTTTCTTCATGCGTGTCAGCGCTGCCGGCGCGCCGCAATCCAAGCCCGTCGCGGACACCATGCCGGCTGCCGCTGCCGCCGCCGCTGTCAAGGGCGTGCGGGATTTTCAGGTCTCTGGCGACGTCCTCCCCGAGGCTGCGGCGGCAGCAACAGGCCCCGAGGACAGGGGCGGGGCGTGCAGCCCCCCCGCGCAGCCGCGTGGCCCCGGGGACCTGGCGCAGCCGGAGGGGGCCGTCGCGGCGCCCGGGCCGATGCGGCTGCGCGCCGCGCTGCCAGGCGGCGCCGAGCAGCTGCTGCAGGCGCTGCAGGAAGACAAGCAGGCGCTGCTGTGCGGCTTGGGGCCTGCTGAGGGGGGCCCCCGCTCGCCCCTGGCCTTGTGCACACTTTGGGACGGCCGCCCCGCAGAGCGGCTGCTGGCCGCGCTGGGCAGCGGCGGCGGCGGCGGCGGCCCCAAGTGCGGCGCGGCAGCGGCGGCGCAGCGCGCACAGCGGCTCGTCGCACTGGCGCTGCTGGCGCAGGCCGCGGCGGCGGTACTGGACGGCGGCGCGCGGCCGGCGCACCTCTTCCTGCGCCACATGCTGGGGCAGCTGCCGGCGGTCGCGCCCCTGGCCGCGCGCGGCGCGGCGGCGCTGGCGGCGGCGCACGCGCGTGTTGAACGTGGCACTGGCGCTGGCGCCGGCGGCGGCGGCGGCGGCGGCGGTGGCGACCATCCCAAACAGGAACTGCTCAGGCGGCTGCTGGTGGAGGCGCGCGCGGCGCGGCCGGTGAGCACGCAGGCAGCTTGCGTGCGGCCCCTCCGTGTCCTACTCCCATCGTCTTGCTCGCCGGCCCCTCTGCTTGCTGTCGGTTGCCGGCCGCCAGGGCGCCGCCTCCGCACGCCGCGTTTGGTGCGATCTCAACCACAAGCACAGCGCATAACCACCGACAGCAACACCCTCACAGCAATCCCAGCAAATCGCCTGGCCTTCAGGCGGATCTCGTGTGGTTCCCAGATTACGACGCTATGGCGCCGCGGCGCGCTCGCGCCCGGCCCACCTTTCTCACAGGGCGCCAGGGTGCTGGTGGTGGTACAAGCCAAGGCCGCCTTCACCCTGTTCGCGCCCATCTCCGCCGCCGGCCTCCAAGCCCGCCAGCTGGACCGCGGCGGCCGCCTGCTGGGCGGCGCGGCGGCGGCCGGCTGGGCGGCGGCGGCGGGCGCGTGCGGCGCGGCGGGGTGCGTGCTGGCGACGCCGCGACACCTGATGAACCCGGCGCTGCCTCTCAGCGGCTTCGGCTTTCTGATCGAGTACAGCCCGGCTGCGCCCGGCGCCCAGGCGGACCCGGACCCTGCGCAGGCACCAGCGGAGGGGACGGTCGGCGCGGCGGCTGATGAGACGGCCGCGGCTCGCGGCGGCGGCGGCGGCGGCGAGGCGGGCGGCCCGGCAGCAGCGCGGTACCTGGCTGTCTGCCGGCACTTTGAGGGGCGCCACTTCGCGATCGACGTCGTGGCGCCAACCATGGGGGCCCCGGCAGCAGCCGAGGAGCCGTGCCGCCCAGCTCCGAACCGCGCCGCGGGCGCTGCGCTCGAGCCTGCGCCCGCGCCGGCGCTCCCGCCCGCGCCGGCGGCGCCTGCGCCTGCGCCCACGGCCGCACCCGCGGCGACGAGGCGCCCCGTGGTCGTCAGCCGCGCCCCCTGCAGCCTGCTCACGCGGCGGCGCGACCTCTATGAATCAGTCCTGCGGCTGGAGCAGCCGCCGCCGCCCGGGCGGGCTGAGCCGGCAGCGGTCGCTGAGCTGGCGGAGCGGCCCTGCGAGTATGCTGACGTCATCCTGACGCCACGCGCGTGCGTGTGCGTTTGGAGCGCGGAGAACCTGCCGCTGGATCTGGAGGTGGGCGAGCAAAACAATAGGTTTCGAAGAGGGGTTGTTTGGTGCAGCAGGGTGGGTGCATAGAAGGCATGACAAAGTATGGTAATGTTTGATGGCCCGAGCGGGCGCCCAGGTTGGCGGGCTGTTCTGCGCGTGCTGCAGTGCTGAGCTCATCATGCGGCAGCCCCGATTCTGGTGGCCCCGGGTTTGATTATCACCCACAGCCTGATTCTCCTCTTACTGTCCACGCCTCGCGCTCACTCGCCCCCCCACCTGCCTTGCCTGACCCCACCGCCATCCCCGACCCTGTGCTCGGGCCCCCACCAGACTGCATGCCCCTGGGAGCCCGCCCTGCAGCTGCTGGGCCAGCGGCTGCTGCGCCTCAGCTTCTGCTTCAGCGAAATCCACTACCTTCTGGAACTCCCTCCCCCGCCCCCAAAAGCGCCCCCGCCACCCCCGCCAGCCGGGCGGGTCGGCGTCGCGGACGGGCGCGGCGCGCGCCAGGAGGCCGGGGCGCGGCGCCACGCCGCGGCGCGCGCGCTGCTTCGGGAGTCGCGCTCGCTGCAGGCGGTGGCGGCGGCGGCCGGGGTGCGGGTGCAGGTGCACCCGGCCGACGGGCGGGCGGCGGCGCAGGTGGGTCGGGGCCTGCGTTATCAGAAGAGCCGGCCGGCCAACTGTGAACTGACGCGCTGCAGTGCAACCCAGTCACTCCACCACCACTGTATAAATACATGGCCTCAGATTCAGCACCGGCTGGCCGTGCGGTCAGATTGGAGGTCGCCAGCTGGCTCCGTGTGCCTTGTACAGCCGCGGCGTGCCTCGTAGCGTTCCAGCAACCACTGCGTCGCCCCACCCCGGTGCCCCGCACGCAGGCCCTGCTGAGTCACCTATCTACTGCCATTCTTTCAGACTACTACAGCGCCCGCCCCGCCCCCGGCCCCAGCCCCACCAACGGCCCCGCCGAGGCGCCCCGAGGCGGCCGCGCACCCCTGCGCGTCCCGGACCTTCCCTCCCCCCGCGAGGCGTTCCTGCTGGCCTGCCCCGCCTTCAACCCGCTCTCGGCCGCGCTGCTGGCGTCCCTGGGGCTGCCGCTACGTGACATCATCGCGGCAGCGCTGGCGGGCCGCGGGAATCAGGTGGCTCCTGAGCTGCCGGACCACTGCTGGGGCCTGGCCGCAGCGCACTGGGCGGCGCGCCCGCCGGACGAGGTGGTGTCGGCCCTTCGGAATCAGCTGCAGCTGCAGTTGGCGGAAGAGCAGCAGCAGCAGCAGCAGCAGCAGCAGCAGCAGCAGCAGCAGCAGCAGCAGCAGCAGCAACAGCTGTGCGAGGAGGCCGTGATGCAGCAGCAGGAGCGGGCGCAGCAGCAGGCCTGGCGGCGGCAGCAGCAGCAGCAGCAACAGCAGGGTGATGTGACGGGTTTAGAACCCAGCGACCAGCACGTAGAGTTTTCGGATGTGGAGATGCAGCAGCAGCATGCGAATGCTGCAGCAGAGGAGCAGCAGTGGCGCCAGCTGGCTGGGCTGGCAGCCCGGCAGCAAGCACACAGCCAGCAACAGATGGGTTGCGAGCCGCGGCAGGGCCGAGTGTGGCGAGAGGAGGAGGGCTTGTGGGAGCTGTCTTGGCAACAGCAACAGCAGCAGCAGCAGCAGCAGCAGCAGCAGCAGCAGCAGCAGCAGCAGCAGCAGCAGCAGCAGCAGCAGCAGCAGCAGGATGAGCAAAGGGGTCAGAGGCAGGCGCCCTGGTCCGCGCAACCACTCAGCACACACGGCGAAGAGTGGGGTGGCGAAGGGTGGGGTTCGCAGCCGGGGCACCGCCGAGAACCAGGGGCCGCCCCGACGGACTGGATGGCGCGCGCTGTGCCAGGCGACGCGTTTGAGCAGAGAGCCGTTCACGGCGTTGGGCAGGGCCGCCGCCAGGCTTTCTTCGAGCCAGCGGGAGAGGAAGCCTTTGGACCAGAACAGATGGCGTTTGAGGGCGGCAGCGGCGACATGGGCGGCGGCGGCGGCGGCGGCGGCGCGTTTGTCCCTGATGGCGGTGACGGGGACGCAGGGGCCGCGGGCGGGTTCGACCCTGAGCTGCTGTTGGACGATTTCCTCAGCAGGCGCGGGGGAGCAGCTGGGGCCGCTCCCGGCGCCGCCCGCCGCTGCGTGGCCGGCGGCCTGCAATGGCAGCAGAAGGCCGCGAGGCCCACGCCGCCGCCGCAGCAGCAGCCGCAGCGGCAGCAGCAGCGGTGGGCGGCAACGGGGGCCGGAGGGGCCATGGCCCCTGCAGCGGCCCGACGCGGGGCTGGTCGGCAGGCAGGGCGGCCCGGCTGGTTCGAGGATGGAGACCAGGCGCCCGGCTGGGGTGGGCGCGGCGCATTCGATGCCAGCGGCCGCACTGTAGGTGGCGGCAGCTTGCTGGACCCTGCCGCGCAGCCCGCCTTTGGCAGCTTTGAAGGCCCGCCTGCCCAGCGCCGCGGCACGGCACCTGCAGCCGCCGCACGTGGCGGCGGCGACAGGGCCGGTGGGGGCGGCGGGGGCCTGTTCAGTGGTTGGGACGTGGAAGAGGACGACGCAGAAATGGCCCACGCCCGCGCGCCGGCCCTGTTGCCGGGCCTGCCGGCCTCCGCCCTGCGCGCCGCGGACAGCGGCGGCAGCCGGGGCCCCACCGCCGCGCGCCGCCGCGGCAACCACCCTGCGCCACCCGGGCCCCGGGCGCCGCTTGGCGCGTTCGGTGGGGGCGGCAGATCGGGGTTCGACTTCGGCATCGGCGATGATGCGCAATTCGAAGGAGGTGACGCGCTCATGTCGGACCCTTTTGACGGCGCGGGTCACCATGAAAGCGACCCTTGGGGCCTCGAAGATGAGCAGCTGCTGGGCAGCCGCCTCCCCAGCCTCTTCGGCGGCGACGGCGGCAGCCGGGGGACAGGCTGGGATGCACGACGACCGACCGGCGGCGGCGCCGCGCGTGGCGAGGCATTCGGCGCGCCGCCAGGCGCTGCGTGGGGCGCGCCGCCTGGCCGGGCAGGCGGTGGCGGCGGCGGCGGAGACCCGGCGCGGCGGGTGCCTGCTTTCATGGCTCACCGCAACCCGAGCCGGCAGCTTGGCTACGCGCTGGCCGACGACGGTGACATCATCATGGGCGGCGGCGGCGGCGTGTTTGGGGACGGGCGCGGCGGCAGGAAGCACAAGGGCGGCGGCGGGCGGCAGACGCGCCTGGCTTGGAAGTGACGTCCCGCCTGCGTGTGCCCCTGCAAGTTCCGGTCTGTGAGCCTGCTTGCACCATTTTGTGCCAACTGGGGGTTCAAACCAAGACTGCGGCGCCTGTCCGCGCTTTGGGTCCGCCAATGCTGGGTCCCTGGTGATGTCACATGCTTGAAAAGGAACATGAATACATGATTTACAGTGTTGGGGTGTCAGGAGCCATGGCTGGTATCGTTACATCCGGTCGAGTCATCACAGCCGTGCACCCCAGGCCCAAGAGCTGCCCGCCACCAAGGCAGCCAGCGCCACCAAGCCGCCCGCCGTCAGGCCGTCCAACGCAGGCGCGGCGACTGCGCCCGCCAGCGTCCCAGTGTGATCTAGGCGCTTCGCGGGACGCGCTTTCCACCGCCCCTTGGCTGCCTCGCCGCCGCTGCTGCCGCCGCTGCCGCTGCTCCTGCTGCCGCCGCCGCCGCCGCTGCTGTCGCCATCATCGTCGCTCCAGCGGCACTGGCCACCACCTCCTGCCTCTTGCCATCCGCAGCTGCGATCCACCTGCCCCTCATCTCCCCTGCCAGCCGTAGCGCCGCCGCCGCCGTCACCGCGCTCGGGCGAGGACGGCATGCCGTCCAGTGGGTAGCTGCCCCGCAGCTGCCGCACCTCTGTAACGTGGCCGAAGAAGTCGGTCACCCTGACCTGGTCCAGAGGGCGCTCAAAATTCTCGGTGCTCTGGCCAAAGTGTGACTCCATGTGAGCGAAGCTGAGGGGGCGCGACGCGGCGGTCGAGGGTATGTTAACTTTATATTTGCGAAGCAAATTCGGCAAAGGCGTGCAGGGCTTTGGGCTGGTGTGGCTGAGCCCTGGCCGGCGGTGACAGCCCAGCAAGTCTCCTTCCCAGGCACACACAATGCCGACAACTACTGTCGGCCAGTACACACGACCCTCCACCGCCCGACCGCCGCGGCAGCTCCCATTAGACGCCCTCGCCCGCGCCGGCCGCCGCCCTGCCCATTTTGCCCGGGCGAAAGCGGGGCCGCCCACCTGTATGTGTCAAAGAGCTGCTGCAGCGTGGCCTGGGAGTGTATGTCCACCCTCTCAAAAAAGTCCAGGGTCGAGTAGGTGAAGCGGTCCACGAGGGACAGCCCGACGTCCTGGTCAGTCAGGTATGAGTAAGATGACTCACCCTTTAGCGAGCTGGCCATGGCCAGGACGCCTGGGGACCTGCGCCAGGGGAAAAAAGGGACGCAGAAAATGTTGTGGTGGCAAAGGGATATGGAAGCTTTTGAGTGTGTGAATCAAAGAAAGGCATGGGCAAATCGCGATTGGCTGCGCAGTGATGGCCGCTAGCGACGATGGCGTGCCCATGCGCAGGCGGGGTGCCCCGCCTGTGCAGGGCCCCATGCTCTGCCGCGTGCGGAGTAGCCCCCGGCCTGCTGTGCAGTCCAGCTTGGCACCCACTTGATGCGGCCATAGAGGGTTGCGGCCTGGCACGTTTCCACGACCAGCAGCAGCTCCTTGTAGCGCCCCTTTTGGTGCATCTGGGGCGGGGACAGGGTTGGGGCCGGGAGGCTTGGAAGGGGGACTGGATGGGCGATTGGTGGTTGAGGGGGTGAGAGCTGCAATGGGGGCTGCGAGCCTTCCGGACGCTGCAGCATAATGCCCGGGCCTTGCCGCTGGGGCCCTCCAACAGCAGGTAGTCGGCAGCGGTGGGCCCACCGCTGCTGGCTGGTGCAAGCTCTTGCACGCCTGGCCCGCCGCCCCCGGCCTGTGCGTCTTCAGTGCCCGGACGCCTCCAGGTCGCAGACCATGTGCATGGGGATCCGACCGACCGGCCATTCAGACCGCACCCGCACCTGCGCCAGCGCGTCGGCGACGTCTGCTGCCATGAGCTCCTGTTGGTCCTGGAATTTCATGAACTCGTTGCCACCATGACCAGTTATGAAGACCTGCAGTTTGTGCGAGGTGCATGCTTGGTTTTGACGCAAGCGTGCGCGTGCGTGAGGAGGGTGTGTGCGTTCTGGTGACCGGGGGTGTGCGCCAGCATGCGCGGGTGCGTGTGGAGGGGGGGCATGAGGGGGCAGGGCGCTGCGGGGATGGGTGCGCTGCCAAAGCGACTTCGCTCCGTCCCTTGCTGCGCTGAAAGGCAGCCTCATCCGCCCGCGGGCAGGGCAAACACTGCTTTGTTTTTTTGGCTGCCATATGACGTGCATTCATCCCGCCGACGAGCGAGCCAGACGACGCCGCGTGCGAAAGCGGCAGTGGGCGGGCCTCGATCGCGGACCCATGATCGCCCCTGGCCTCAGAGCACGCCTGGAAGACCCTTGGACCCTGGAGCCGCCCCATGCCCGGAGCTCACCAGCACGTTGCTGCCCGCGTCTGACAGCATGCGCTTGGCGCGCGGCACCGCGGGGTCGTGCCGCCCTGCAGTGGCGGGTCGATGCACGGCGGAAGGGGCCGGCAATCGGGACGAACGCCCTCCGCAAAGGGGATTCTGGGCACCGCTTGTCCCGCCCAATCTGCCGCTCGGTCGCAGCGGCTGCCGGTCGCACCCGCATGTTTCCGAGATGGAAATTCCCGATCTCAGAGGCAAGAGCAGCAGCCGCCTCCAACAAGCAGGGGTTGGGGTTAGGCCGCCGCCATCCCCTTTTCCAGCCCATGGGCCGCTGCCGAGCGGCCCGCGGGGCCACAGGCGCCCGCGGTTGTCGCTGGCCGGAGCAGCCGTCACCCGCTCACCGGTGAGCACCCTCATGAAGTTCTCGACCGTCACTTCGTAACCGCGGTAGTCAACCTCGACGTTCTGGCCGTACACGTCCAGCCTGTGGCCTTCGTCATTGAACACCTGCAAATGTGGTGGTTGCAACGGCTTGAAAATGCGAGTCGATTATTCATTGCCAGCCCGGCGCTGCACGAGGCGAGGCAGCGGCAGGCGAGACGGCGAGGAGCAGCCACTTCTGCTGGTCGAACGTGGGCTCGATCACACCCAAGCAAAGCTTTGCGCCAAAGTGGAGGAGAGGGTGTGCAGCTGCAACCGTGCCGCGGCGCATACGTGCGTGCATGTGTGAGCGCGCACCCCCCGTCGGCGCGCGGCGCGCCTGGGCGGGGTAGGGGTTGCGCGGGTTGCATGCGACGTCGTCCGCAAGCATGAGGATTATGTTG